CAATACAATTCCAAGTTTTTGGAGGCGATTTCTTGCTCTCGTGTTGTAGTTGAGCCTGTAAGTTCAGGGACGTATGAGCCATCATCGAAGCTGAACTTAAAGGTACTACAAGACATCCTGAAAGGTATCTTCAAGATCCAGAAGGATGAGGAGCTTGCCAAAGAACGTGATGAAGAAGAAGAACAGGCAGCTCAAAACATCTCATACCTGTTGGCAGATGATATGGAGCTTGATTTTGATGATGATGATGTTCCAGTATGGCGCTCCATTGTCGACAAGTATAGAGGAGGTGATCAGGTGCTACAGGGAGAAGCTGTGAAGATTACTCACCTGTTCAGGGATCAAAAGGACAATGAGAAGGCGACAGAAGCTTTCAGTTCAGAGAGGACAGATTTTTATGAGACCTCAGGATCTCTTCCAAGAACCGAGGGAGAAAATCTTGTAGAGGACTTGCTCACCAAGGATGTTGCAGAACAAGCTTTTGAAGTAGGTGAAGAAGTTCCTCCTTATACAAGAGTCTCCACTATCGCTGGTGAAGTTTATACTGGCAGTATGACACTTCTAGAAGATGAGAATATGGAAGAGGAAGTTCCTGAAGAAGATCCTGCAGTTGAACCTGGAAAGGAACAAGAAATATTTAATGAAGATGCAGGTGTTTTTCCTTCAGAGGAACCAAAGATGGAAGTTGACCAGGAGAAAACCAAGGAAGAGTCAACACCACACTTTCTGTCAAGAGAGATAGGTGAGGACTCGACTGCATCGTACTTACCATCAGGTGAGATGGATGCTAACCTTGATGATACTTCAGGTCAGCGGAAATCGAAGAGAAGCCGCCTGAATAAGATTCCTGATCCTCATTTTCATGAAGAAGTTCAGGATGATGCAACCATAGAAGAGAAGAAAGAGGCGGTGGAGAAAATAAAAGAGGTCAGAGAGGATGATGAAGAGAAGAAATTGGAGGCTGAAATCCAAGAGTCTTTTCCATCTGAAGTAGTTGTTGAAAAGGATACAACAAAAGCTGATAATACCTATGAGTTGCATACTTCACCTTTGAAGTTGCTTGGAGAGCTTACAGGAGATCCAGGTATTGGCTTTTATCAACTACGCTTCAGGGAAACTCATGCAAGATTGCTGAATCATGTTTGTTTCAGAAAAGGTGAGATTTCCCATCCTCATTATCAGTCAAGGATCAACGAGAATGATTTTGTTCGATCCATTCGAAATGTCTGTCCAGTACCTCCACCTGATTGTTATGAACATGAACCAGAACATGATTTGAAGAGATTCTTCATCAATGATGACCGCATAATTTATTTGGATGGCAGGTATCAGGTCGATCCAAAGGCCCTTGAAAGGGCAGGTCATGCTCGAGAAGAATTGAAGGGTACGAAAAAGGAACTCAAGAAGGAACTGGAATCATATGGTCCCAAGGGACCCAGTTGGGGCTTTGTCACCTTCTATGAAGAGCTGTGCAGAAGGTTCCTCAAAGGAAGAATAGAAGAACCATATGGAACTAACTTATTGGCCAGCTCAGAGTCCTTGACATTTTTATCCTGGAACTATGGCAACATGGTTCGTGGTCAGAAGTACACCACACCAAGGTTTCTCCAAGGACTTGATAGTGCAATGAGGCCACGCAAACAGAGCGCCATGTCACTTCAGAATGAGCAATTTGAGAACAACCTTTTCTTCAACATGCTCTTCTTTTTACGTGCACATGTCGTGATTCTCCAGGAAGCTCATCTTCTTGTTCCTGCCAAGGAATTTATTGAGCAAAAGAATTGGACAGTTTGTTTCAATGATTGGGAGAATCTTGCAGTGATGGCTAGATTGGCACCAGGTGGATATGTCAAGATCATTGCTGGACATGACCAAGATCTTGGTCACTGTGAACAGCGTGATGTAACTTGGGCTATCTACGAGATTTGTTTTGGAGAAACAAGGCCTCGTCAAGATTTCAAGGATGCAGACTTTGAATTTGATGACTATGGTCCTGAGGACAAGCGTGTTCCACTTACTCGAGCGAACATGCATACCATCAGAGTCTGTAATTATCATGTTGATACACACCGTGCTGTGGATGCCCACCTACTGACAGGAGAACAGACAGCATTGATGCTTTACGAGTGTTTTGTCTATGAGGTGGACATCATTTCTGGTGATGCAAATAGTTTGGCCTACAGAATGTCTGGGTACAAAAGGCAGCCAATGGCTAACTACTATTACAGCACCATGCAGCATTGGATCCGCAGGTTTTCAGAAGCTCGTGTAAAAGCAGATCCTGGTATCAAAGCACCTATTCCCAGAACATTTTACAGTTCAACTTCACAGGTCCTCAAGAAGTGTGAAGTTTACTTTGATAAACTCTGGGAAGAATATTCTACTGTTGAAAAAGAAGAATACCAAGGATCACAGCTTGGCGATACATGTTTGTCTACCATTGTTGAATGGGGTCATTCAATGAGTGAAGAGGAATATGAAAATTCCACAGTGAGCACGAAGGAGTTCATCTGTAATTTTTCAGAGAACTTTGCTATGATTGACACGGAGGTTATGTGCTCAAGGCCCACTGACGAGGACAGTCATGGTCCAATGTTTATTTCACTCAGACCAGCTTCCCTTTCATCTGGAGACAGAAGACAGTATCGCATGGGAGCAACGCTTCAAGAGGCGAACGTGCGGAGGAAGGAGAGACAAAAGCAGAATAGAAAGAAAGGAAGGCCGCCAACTTCTGATCAAGCAGCTTCATCGTCTGCAGCGGCATAATTCCTGAGCGAAGGCTGAAATTTAAATGATGGCTAGGAAGTGAAGATACTTCTGGTTACAGTTGATACTTTGCTTCCAGGCTTGACTTTAAGTTGCCAGGCTGAAGTTTTAATAAATTCTGGTTTGCAATGAGGAGAAACTTTTTATCAAAGAAGATACTCCTGCATTCCAGGTTTATACGCTTTAGCATGCAGATAGGTATGGACAGTTTTGCATAACTGATGATATCTATCACAGCCGCTTTTTCTGAGATGACCTCTAATGGACAACCATTCATGGTTGATGATTAAGTCATTTCATAAGTCTGCATTTGTAGTGCAAGTTTTGTACATACATTTGCCGGTATCTCCTTCTTGTGTTTTGATGTGAATGTGAAAGAAAGAGTCCTTTTGATGCAGTTTATTTTGTCTGTGAATGAAAGCGGCCGAGACCATTTTTCGAGAAGACCATTCCTCGGACCGAGAGTTGACGCTCCTTGCATTTTGCAAGGCATCTTAATTCATTGCATTGTGCGGTCTTGAATTTTAGTTCTTTGTTACGCGAGTGTCGTTTGATTCTTTTATAGGTCTCTGTAGAGAAAAAGCCGCTTTCCCTTTTTAGTTTGATTTAGCTCAGGCCCTAAAGAGCTAGTGAGCGCCGGTACATGGTATCTCCGCCTGCGAAAAGTACAGTCTCCAGCCGAGGTACATTATCGTTTTGATTTTGTACTTGAGGTGAGTCAGCTATTGCTCCCTCACTGTATTTAGTAGCTATGAGATTACCTTCTCTGAAGTGTGAAACACACCGGATTAGGTAAGTACATGGCACCGTAGTTTTCTTTTAAGTTGTCAGAGCTAGCTGGACTGTTTTAGCCTTGCAGTAGAAAAAGAGTATGCGACATACGCAATCAGCTAGAAGTGGACATGAATCTTGCGCCTGCTGAAAAGTAGAGCCTACCTGTACAGGGTTCCACTCCAACAGCTGATATAGTGTGTCCATGCTTGACTGCTTCAAGGCTCAAAAGAGCAAGAGGATAAGACTCTGCGCATAAAAGACACTAGCGGTCTGCACCTCTACCGTGTACGCCCTAGTCACTCTTTCACCCCCCCCCCCCCCCCCCC